ATTGAATAATCCTTACATAGCCTATTATTCATATTATGAACTAAGAGAAGAGACTGTTGCGCGCTTGCAGTTGCGGCGCTTGCAACCATAGACTGTAAAAAAAAGTCTTGCAACCCGTTTTGAATTTAAGATTGCGCGGGACGTTTTGATGAGCTTAGGCTGGAAATCCCAGTCACAGTCTGGCAACACTGCATGCACGAGTCTGGCAACAGAGACCGAGAGTAACGATCACCTAACTTCTCTGAAAGAGATCAGCTTCACTTTTCTGAGACTCACCGAGAACTGAAGCATTAGACCCAGCGATCTCTCCTCGATAACCACACTGAGCTCAATATGCCTTTACTTCTGGACTCTACACCCGCAACACCCACTGTAACCCGCCGGACAGCTTTGTCTTTTCCACAGATACTGCAGTGGTTCACTTGGGTCACTGGTTTGGTTTCAGCTGCATTTCAATGCTCGTCTTCTCCAAAGCTACGGCTCGTCGCACAACTGTTTTCGACAGCAAGCATGGTTGCTTCGGGTGTACTTCACTTGGTTCACGTGTTCTCAGACGAGTTTAGCTGGATGAACCTGATTTCAGCTGTGTACAAAATTGGATCCGGTGTAATATCTTTGATTCGGGAGTTCAGAGGATTTCAGCGCTTGACCAGAGCAGCTCAACAAGCCGATGACAACATAATATAACGCGCTGAGATCCAGGCAGTCGAGGGAACTGAGGGAACTGGGGAAAGGGAATAATCACTAATGAATAACGAATGAAAATATGAAAAATGACTAAAAACAATAATTTAAAAAAAACTGACTTATTTATTGTTTAGTGTTTTAATGTAGGCTACTCAAATGTGACACTTCTCTGGTCCAGTATGTCTGTATAAACTGGCTTCAGAAACTAACGTTAGCCGTTTGAACAAACTTCAGTAGCCTATCACTGAAGTTCAACAGAAGAGAGAGGATCCTTCAGTTTGCATCGATGTCTTTCATCTATCATCTTCAAGAGCGAATGTGATGGGACTGTCTTCCAGTTCCTGACAGTTCTTGAGATCGAGCTGTTGGGTTGGAAAACTCCTTGTAATGGTTGATTCAGTCTGTAACTCAGAACAGTAAAACATCTGGATTGCTGCTGTTGGTGATCAAAAATGCCAAGATGACAATGTTGATATGGAGGATGATGTTTCTCCTCATGACAGTGACTGAACAAGTGACATGAACAAGAGTGAATCTAAAAAGAAGAGTGAAATCGAAAAGATGCCAAACTCGTAGCCAAAATGGAGAAACTTGAAATAGAAACAGCGCTTGCAGAAAGCAATGCTGAATTAAAGGTAGCCTACTGAAAGAACATGAAAAATCAGAAGATGGCCGAGGCCGAGATACAATCTAAGTCAAGAAGAGGAATCCACCAGAAGCCAAAAGAACTGAAACAGCAGATCGACGATTCACCAGGTCATTCATCTGAGAGGAAAAGTAAAATGAAGGCCATCTCAAATCCAGTGTTTCTTGCACCGCTATTAGACACATCAAGAGCTACAGACTACAGTAGTAATCGTCAAGCAGATGACAACATTATTCACATTATGCAGAAGCAAAATGAATTGACAGAATTGCTTGTGAAACAGCAGACAATTCACAAAAACAGGCCAGTCCACCCAAGTTATGCTCAATGCCTTTGAGAAACCATGTAGGCCTATGTTTTGCGCAAAGGATCATGCTCTCGAGTCGTGCAGTGAAATAAAGGAGCAGCCACATATAGTGTGTGGAATTTCTGAAGTCTAAAGGCATGCTTTTGTATGCTTAACTCAAGGCCATATTAACCTGCAAAAGAGAAGTGTCACATTCAGTCATTTGAGTACATTAAAACACTAAACAATAAATAAGTGTCCGGTTTTTTATTATTTCAAGCCATTTGTCATCTTTTCATTCATTATTTTCCTTTTCCCTCAGTTGCCTGGATCTCAGCGTGTTATATTATGTTGTCATCGGCTTGTTGAGCTGCTCTGATCAAGTGCTGAAATCCTCTGAACTCCCGAATCAAAGATATTACACCGGATCCAATTTGGTACACAGCAGAAATCAGGTTCATCCAGCTAAACTCATGATCTGAGAACACTTTAACCAAGTGAAGTACACCCGAAGCAACCATGTTTGCTGTCGAAAACCACTGCAGTATCTGTGGAAAAGACAAAGCTCTCCGGCTGGGTGTAGAGTCCAGAAGTAAAGGCATATTGAGCTGGTGTTGTTATGGGGGAGAGATCGCAGGATCAGCTGTCTTATGCTTCAGTTCTCGGTGAGTCTCAGAGAAGAGAAGGTGATCGTCGCTGAGGGAGAACGATCTGATTTCCAATGGCAGAAAATACTTTCGGTCTCTCTGTTGCGGGCTCGCACAGTGTTGCCAGATTGGGACGGGGATTTCCAGCAAATCCAGCCTAAAACTCACCAAGAGAAGGTGATCGTCGCTGAAGGACAATGATTTCTAATGGCAAAAAGCCGCGGCTTATAAAAGTTACTCTCGATCTGTTGCGCGCTCGCGCTGTTGACAGACTGACAGGGATTTCCAGCCAAAAGCATCAAAACCCGTCCAATCTTAAATGGATAGTTCACTTTGAAATACATTTTGGTATGTTTTAGCTTATACCCTTAAGGGCATCCTTGATATGGGCAGCCTAAATATAATAGGCTATATTTATTCAATTCAATCTGATGGAATTTTAATATTAATTGAAATGTGTAAATCTTGAAAACGAGTTGAGTGTAGTTTTAGACTTCCAGTAGAGTAAATCAACTGTCAGTGGCCAGAGTCTTAATCCGCCACTGCGGACAGATTTAGTTTCAAAGATGAAGACAGAATCATACATCCCTCCAGAAACTAGGCTTCTTTAAACTTGCCGGCCCAGAAAGTTAGTAAAAAAACATTGTTAAAATAGTCCAAGTGACTACAGTGGCTCAACCTTAAGTTTATCAAGCGACGAGAAAACTTTTTGTTACAAGCACTTTATAGCCTAACTCATGACAAACCAGTGTGTCCCACTGAGAACCTGTAATACGGGTATATTTATTAATTCCCCTGAAATCCCAGTCCAAAAATATCCCGATTCAATCCCAGTCACACGAACCATCATTTGATCCATCAGTAAACAGCCTCTCTCCAGTTTCAACACAAGCACTTCATAGGAAACTCAAGTAATATGCTAATATTTTATGAGTACTTCCTGTAATCAGCAGTTTGATCATTGCTTTCCTTCATATTAATTTACCTCTTGTGTTTCTGCCATCACTGAAATCACAACTGACCTTAGACTATTGTCATTTTCACTGTGTAAAATTCCATCAAATTCAATTGAATACAAATTAAGAATTTTAAATGAGTTAAAAAAAACTAGCTTAATACAACTTTTTGAGTGAATCTTAATGGAACAAGCGATTAGACGGTTTAATTTGTGATTCGTATTCATAATAAAGAAAATGTTTACATTTAAGTTTTAAGATTTATACAAAATATTTTAACCTCTAGTTTTTTTAATTCTTAATTCATAATATGAATAATATGTAAGGATTATTCAATTCAATTTGATGGAATTTTAATATTAATTGAAACGTGAGTGTAGTTTTAGACTTCCAGTATATGAAGCATGAACACAAAACTCTGAGCGTCACAGGTTTAATATCCCGGCCGTTTGTAACTTGCTTGTTTTGCGGCTTATGGTTCATGGCTTATTATAATGCTTTAACAAAGACTTTTTTTTTAAATCCCAATGGGAAAAATTAATAAGAAAAATATTTATGGAACCAAGCCACTGAAAAAATGTCCAGGCCATTTTTTCTACTTGAACTAACATTGATGTAACCTGTTATCAGATACGTTTATTCATATTAATTACTTTTGAGTTTAGTACAAATAATAATAACAGAATGTAAATTATCACATGAAGAACATTTAATTTTTTCCCCAAAGAATTTTAGTCTGTTTTAACACATTTCACCTGTTAGAAATACATGCTCGGTGTGTATGTTATTTTAAGGTGGGCTGGAATTAAATGAACGGACCCCAGTTTGGGAACCACTGCACTTTTTCGACACAATGTTTGTGTAAAGTGAGTCCAGCACTGATGTTGCATTTTACTTGCACATAATCAAAGCTGCATCATCACATTACCTAACATAAATTGTACCAGAGAATGGACTTTTGACATAATTTACTGTAAGCCGTCATAACTGAATGTGTGTTATGTTATGCAAAGATGCATTGATGACTTCTGACCAGCAGAGGGCCCCGGGGCCCCAAGCTTTTACAATAAAGGGCAGCCTAATATTCAATATCCAGCATGCAATAGAACTAGTATGGAGGGTCATGTTAACCACATAAGAAAAAGTCATGTTTTTGTAAATCAAATTATAATATATAAACTCTAAATCATAATTATAACATTTAAAGTCAAAATTATTACATAAAAGTCTTTAAGAAACAATCTTAGTATGCCATAATTAAGACTGCTATAATTTCGACTTTATCTAATAAATTTAAATTTAGCATGTCATGATTTAGACTTTTTATCTTATAATTTCACATTTTTATTCTCATTATTATCACTTGGCGTCATAATTTTGACTTTTTATTTCATTCTAACTGACAATAATGACGTACTAAAATCCTAATTACGAGATACAAATTCTAAAACATGACATATTAAGAAATAATTGTAACGCTTGATATGTAATATATATATATATATATATATATATATATTAGAATTATGAAATTTTAATGTCATAATTAAGATTTAGCAAAGCACTTTTCTAATGTGGCAACTATACCACTATTGTTCTTGTGCAGATCTGTCATAATGTGCTGGTTTGCGCAGTAGCTAATGATTAACAGCAGATCACGTGCTAGAGTTCCACTCGGAGTGATGATGATGATGATGATGATGATGATGATGATGATGATGATGATGATGTGGAGTCTGAAGCTCACGCGCATGAATCAGTGACAGAAGTAGAGTTGTTTCTGGAGGGATTGATGATTCTGTCTTCACCCTTGTACTGAATCAGTTTTATTGGGTCTGAAACAAAGTCTGTCCTGATGTTTTGGGACTCGTGTGATCTTAGGAAATCTGCAACGGCTCAATTTATGCGTCTGGAATATAGTTTCTTAATATAATAGAGGGACGCGATTCTGGATTCATGATAAAAGTTTGACTGACGGTGGATTTTAACTGTCCAAAATGTGCGAAAAAGGCGACAGTCCCTCTGGAAAGGACGATCTTCAGACGAAAAGTAACACGGATCACGTCGAACTTCGCGAGTGCAGAGACACGAACACTGTTCCCGGCTGTAACACTCGTGTATACCGGAGACGATGGCTCATTCTGCTTCTCTTCAGCTCATATTCACTGTGCAACGCGTTCCAGTGGATCCAGTATGGAATCATCAACAACATCTTCATGAAATTCTACAACGTCTCTTCATTCGCCATCGACTGGCTGTCGATGATCTATATGTTGACTTATATCCCGTTGATATTCCCAGTGACATGGCTATTGGAGAGGAAGGGTCTCCGGGTGATCGCGCTGTTCGCAGCCTCCGTCAACTGCGCGGGGACCTGGATCAAAGTCGCCAGCGTCCAGCCAAACCTGTTCTGGGTCACTATGCTCGGACAGTTCACCTGCTCCTTTGCTCAGGTGTTCATTTTAGGGATGCCGTCTCAGGTGGCGTCCGTGTGGTTCGGTTCCGATGAAGTGTCCACCGCCTGCGCCATCGGCGTGTTTGGAAACCAGGTGCGTAAAAGCGCACGAACTGTAACATAACGCAAAACACACACCTCGTGCATATAAGTCATATTAATCAACTAGGTTACACTAAACCCTTACGAAAATGAACCATGGTTTTACTACAAATAGCCTAAAACAAAAACAAAAAACATGGTTGCAATAATGGTCACCACAAATGACCCATATTTTTGCTACACTAACCATAGTTTTTTGTAACCATGGAATTTGTAGTTAAACTGTTATAGCATACAAATGGTAATCAGTTGCCCAAAAATATGGTGGTTAGTACACTTTTACCACAATAAAACCATGGTTAAGTTCTCAGACTTTCAACGAATGAGTCGTGTGCATTTTTCACGTAAATTATAGAAACTCGTAGAGCGCAAATGTGAGGTTGGTCACGGTGGGGTTTTGTTAACAGACAGGAAGTTTGAATTAAACTCCAACTTTTGATACATTACCCTGCTTGTTGTCGAAAGCGGCCGCAAATTAGGCGCTAATTGGAGCGTTTACACCTTGCTCATTACGCAAGTATACATTACTACAGCGTTTTCAAACAATATTCCAGTAGCCTAACCCAGAAAGTTAGATTCGACTACAGTTCTGTCTGACTCGGATCACACCGAATAGACGCTCACTTACACTCTTAAAAAATAGGCTTCTTTATTTGGCATATTGAAGAACCTTTAACATCCACGGAACCTTTCCATTCCACATATCGTTTCGTTTTTTAGTGGGAAAATTCTGTTTATTTAAATGTTGTTCACACTAAGAAAAAAATAAGTTATTTTAAGAACTGTTCACTGAAAGGATCTTTGGGGAACCAACAATGTTTTTTTGGCGTCACTGCGAAAACCATAATTTGAAACCATTGGTAGCCTATCGAAATCGCGTGCACGTGAGGACGTAACTATAGCAACAGCAGCTGTTCAGACAAAACATGAGTAGCGTTATTATTTATCACTTCATTACGCATATCTTTAGTAGCCTATATCGCAAAAAAAAATTGTTTTTAAAGCGTGTGTTTTAAATAACTGCGCATTCAAGCCTAATTCACTGGTCAAAAAACGCTTGGGCACCAATTATGTTAACATCAAAACAGTGTTTCATGGCTTTATTAAACTATAAAATGATAAGATTGCTTTGCCATATTCAGTACCTGACAGGTTAGATGTCACCTTTAGTTAGGCTATGTGAAATATGGTCTCTTTTGAAACTCTGAGTGCCATTCACATAAACGCGTTTTTGAGTTTAAAACGTGAGATGCAAGACACGTTTTTAAAAGTTGAACTTCTTTTAATGGGTCCTGTAATGCACTTTTCACAAGATGTAAAAAAAGTCTCTTATGTCCCAACCTGATCTAGAAGCTCCTCGTTATACTTTTAATAAATAAAATCCACCGCATAATTCATATTATAGCGAACACTGATAAAGTCACAGTAAAATACAGTGCATATAGTAACAGGGATGATGTGAAACCCCATCCTCATGATGGATATTGCTGTCTTTAGAGGGCGAGAGCGATAATCTCAGCAGATTAGATGGATAAGGACATGTGCATACAAGCGTGTGAAGTTCCCACTCGTTTACACGGAAGAAATGCAGCACATGATAAGACCATCCACTTATCTAAGCTAACACAGGGACAGTGATTTTATTGTTATAATGTTATTCTAATATTAGAGTTATTATTGGCTGACCGAAGAGCACATGCCACACAGAACCAAACACACACACTGGGCAGACGAGCAGGACAAAAAACATATGCACTTGCATATATTAATTCTTACAAAAATAATACAAAATAAATAATACTCAATACTTTATACAGCTGCTGCAGGCAACAATATGAGGCAAGATGAATGAAATGCACAGATCATAATATATCTGTTATGAAAATCAAAAAGAGAATTTAAAAGACAGCACTATAGACCGCTCAAAACCGCTCAATCAAATGTTATTTACTGACAGTATTGGCCCTTCGATGAATGTTAAACATGCATTGAAAAGCTACAGGACTTTTAATGCGGTGGTAAAAATCCTAGGTTTGATAACCTTAAAAATTATTCGGGATCTGTTTCTGCTTCATCTAAACCATAACAATTATTTCCGTTGATTTAACCTAATTTGTCGGATTGATAACCACAATTTTCATGGAAATCAAAACGACCCAGTGTGCTTTGCACATTATTCCTTCCTTGCATATTGTTTGGTAACACTTTACTTGAAGGGGTGTGCATAAGACTGACATGACACCTTCATAATCATGACAGGACACATGTCATGAATATGAAGGAGGGTTTATGCATGTTTATGACAACTGTCATTAAGTGTCATTCGCTCAATTATGACATTTTTAATGCAAATAAATATGACATTGTTTGAGATGTCTTTGTTATGACAACTTGACATAAACCAATTCATCATAACCTGTCAGTGTCTTAGTCATAACAGCTTGATATTAATAAGACAACACAACCTGTCATAAACATGTCATAAACATGACATAGCAGATTAATTATCAAACTTAAGAAACTTTAGCTTTATGGGTTAACATTACATTAAACTGTCATGTGGCTGGTTTTGACATTGGCTGTCATGAGGACATTATAACTGTCATGAATATTTTTCTTGACCTCGACTACAGTGGTACACATTGAATTTGTCATTAAAATGTTATAATGGCCTTATGACAGCCAATGTCAAAACCAACCACATGACAGTTTAATGTAATGTTAACCCATAAAGCTAAAGTTTCTTAAGTTTGAGAAATGTGTGTTGTCTAGTGTCAAGTTGTTATGACCAAGACATGTGTCATGTCATGATTATGAAGGTGTCATGTCAGTCTTATGCACACCCCTTCAAGTAAAGTGTTACCGAATCATTTATAACTGTTATATTCAAAACGTTTGTTCATTACAGCAGAAGGTTAGCTCAAACAGTAGAGCAACGCCAATGACACGAGCAATGCCAACGTCATGGGGTCAATTCCCAGGGAATGTACGAACTGATAGAGTGAATACTGTTGAATGCAATGAAAGTTGCTTTATACATGCAATGGCAACCTTCTCTATTAAAAAATCTCATGCATTCGTGTTCACTCAACTACTCATGAACACTTGGCTGTGATGTCATTCAGAAAGTGTTCTTGTCATGATCACGATATGATTCACGTTGACTGTAAGATATTGGGATGTGAGTACAGAGCTCAACACAGGGTGTGTATGCTTCTATTAGATGTGGACAGGGTGGGGATTTCATGTAAATGTGGACAAAGTACACAACCTCCTTACTTGAGTGAAAGCACAGATACTACCGGTCAAATATTACTCCGTTACAAGTAAAAGTTTTAAAGACCGATTTTTACTTAAGTTAAAGTACAGAAGTACTTGTTTTTAAAAGTACTTAAGTATCAAAAGTAAAAAGTAAATGTCAATGCATTGTTTTATTATTGTTGCATTGTTATGGTACCTTATACCTCTGAAGCAACCTAGTGAATACACCCACCAGTTTGTGAAATTAAGAGCTTTTAGGGTGTTATAAAACCTATCGAAATTAAACAACTGAATTGACAAAAAAAGACAGACATAATCATCTTCATTTTTTTATTTAAAACTCCTACCACCCCAACAAAAGACGTACACATCTATGTGTATAGTAAAGTCCAACAGCAATACTGCTTCGACAAAAAGCAAAACAGAAATACATATTTGCCATGAAAACAAAACTTTCAAAACGTTAGTTGTGAATCATCCCTACACTGACATTACTACTTACTACTCGAGGACCTTGACAGAAATGTAGTGGAGTAAAAAGTACAATATTTGTCTTTCAAATGTAGTAAAGTTAAAGTAACAAGTTTCCAGAAAGTAAAGTACACATAGTTAAAAAGTGTACTTAAGTACAATACTCAAGTAAATGTACTACAGTCCACCTCTGTGTAAATGAGATAACTGTAAACACTTGTCTCGCGCTGAGCTTATGGATGGGAGTTTTAGAAGGCACTGAAGGCATGAGATGTTAGACTGTGTCCTCACACACATTTCTCAATTACCGGCTCTGAAATGAAAGATGACCCCTGTGACCCCATGGCTTTGTAGCACACTAGTAAATAACAAAAATCATATTTCTCATCATCACTCTGAGCGCTTTCATCAAGGGTCCTGTTTCACCTGGTGTGTTCAAGACATGTCGGAAAGAGCGTATTGATGAGTTGAATGCACACGAACGCCACTACAAAGTCTTAAATAGCAGTGGGAAGCTCCCCTGTGGTGAGAATCCAGCTTTTAATGTTGTTTATGTGTGTATGTGGTGTTTTTAATATGCTTTAAGACACACCATGTGTAAGTTCATAAGTCGACAGCATTGCTGAGTATTTTCTGCTTAAAACTGCAGTGAACCAAAGACAGTCTCAAAAACACGGTTTGAAATCGCTGGTGTTTCTGACGTCACAAACGACCTTGTAACCAATCAGATCAACGTGTGATCGTCAACCAGTGGATCTCTGAGCTGAGCGAGTGAGTGGAGGCGGGGCTCATTTGCATATTCATAGAACCCATAGACTGTAAGGAAAGATGGACGACGCCCCCTTCTCTTCCATTTGAGAAAAGTGAAGCCGCCAAAGTCCTAAGATGGCGCTTACATCTTGTGCAGATTTGGGTCCTGCTTCTGCGCAGTAGTGAGTGTGAAGTGGAGCCGCGATATCAAGGTCCCGCCCCTCACTCTCGCACACGCTCTCGCAGAAACCGTTAGTACAGTGTTTACTGCAGAACAACTCATTATGTTAGTGTAAAATAAACAGTTATGGACATATAAATTAAAGCTGAAGCTCCAATCTCCTCCTGAAAATTCCCCCAAAAAGTCATTTGGTGCCTCAGTGACTACTTCGTTTAGCTGTCAATCACAGCTGTCAATCATGACGTCACATTCAACTAACTAAGACCAAACTTATTTAAAAAAACGAACAGTTAAACTTACATCAGCGTGATAAAAACTACCTTAAATGACAGAAAATCTGTCTTTGGAATCTTTGGAAAAAAATTATTTGAAGTGTAATTTGATTGTTTAGTTTCCATCAGACTAGAGGACGGGTTTTATGACCGATACCGGGACCAGCCACCAGGGGGCGATCGAGAGGCTATGGCTTCACTTTTCAGCACTTGAGTGGTTAAAAAAGCTTAAATATGTAATTTTGGTGATCAAAGATGAGTTTTAAGGAATAAAATGATTGACTACAGGGGGATCTTTATGATTTGGGGGCGTGTCAGTGAGAAACATGGTGGAATACCACAATACTTACAGGTGTTTGCACTGTCAGGCTAATTGCCAGCACAATATATGATAGCCTTGTAATATAACAATACGGTAAAGTTTACAGTGCCTTCTTAAATGAATTAAAAACACACCTGATGCACATCTTTGTTCTTCATTTTCTAGAAGTAGTGTTTAAAAACTTTGCTGTATTTTTGTGTAGTTAAGTAAGAGATGGTACACCCCCATCTTGCTCCAACGTCGTAAACACGACTTCCCAACCCGTTTATACGAACTTCACAAAAGGACTTGAATACACCATTAATGTGAATCTTGTGGAAAACACTTTTGTAGTTACACTAGTCTGTCGCATTTGGACAGATGCTGAAAGTCAGGTCCACATTGCAGTTTACTCACAATATTCGGCTTATGGATCTCTAGTTTATTTGCTATTAAGTTCCTCAAGCACAGATTTGATGGCACGAACCTTGCAAACTTTAGCAAATCCAGTTGAAATGTCATGAGAACTAGGACTCATTAGGGTCTGATTAATTCCACCTGTGTGTGATTAAGTCGTTTGTTTTCGCCTTTATAAGCTCTGTAGTTTCAGTCGTTCATTGCGAAGTCTTGTTTGTTACACTGCAATTCTGAGCGCTTTATCCTGGTTCCCATTTAATGGTCTTGATCTTCTGCCTATTCCCTGTTTGCCTGTGTCTTGGACTCTTGGGCCATTTACACGACACCGTTTTCAACTAAAAACGTAGAACTTTTAATGCGTTTTGGCCGTTCATTTATACGACAACGGCGTTTTGGGAGCCTGAAAACTCAAACTTTTGAAAACGGGTTTCAAAGTGCAAGTTTTTGAAAACGGTCTCCGTGTAAACAACAAAATCGTGAATCTCTGAAGACGATGCCGTCATGCACATGCGTATAACATGTTCAGTCTATAGTGTTTCATCGCCATCTAGTGGCCTGGCAGCAGAATACAGCGTTTCTAGACGTTTTCGCGGGTCCGTGTGAATGGGGATTGTTTTGACAATGGTGTCGTCTGTACACGGAAAACTCAAGGAAAAACTTTTCCGTTTTAAGGCGCATCATTGTCGTGTAAACGTACCCTTGTTTGCCCGGTAGTTTTGACCTTCTTCCTGTAGTTTGTATTGTGATTGTGGATTTCACCCTATTAAATCTGTGTATGGATCTTCAATCTGTGTTAAAATCGTGTTAAGATGAAATTTATATGTCCTCATACATTTCACCACAAACAATGAAAGGGTAAGAAAAGCTGCATTATAGCTAAAGCTTAGAGGTTTTTCTGTATGACATTGCAGACGTGTAATGAGAGGTCTGTAATGTGGACCGGATGAAAGGTGTGTATTTGCGGCCGGATAGGGTTGTGTGGATTTCCCTTATATGGAGATGGACTTGGCGTGTTTTATGAAAATCACTAACCTTGGGCATACGGTCACTCACTTAGAATAATAAAATCATTACACTCTAAAAAAAGCAGGGTTGTTTTAACCCAAATTTGGGTCAAATATGGTCAAACCCAGCCATTGGGTTACATTTTTAAATTACAGTACATTTTCAACCCAACGGTTGAGTTTGTCCATATTTGACCCAAATTTGGGTTAAAACAACTCTTTTTTGTTGTTGTTTTTTTGCATATACACATGTGTTGTGAATTAGGTGCTTTTTTTGTGAGAAAAATATACCATACAAAATAACCCATGCAATTATTAGTGAATGCAACCCAATGTTTCCAGGCAGACTGATAAAACTGTCCAATGCCGTTAATACTGGAGGTTGCATAAAACCAGCCAATAAGAATAGAGCTTTTCAGAGTTTTTTGTTTTTGCAGAATGTCTTTCAGTTTCATGTGAGTTTAGGTCAACTCTAATTCTTTATTTCTTCCCCATCAGCTTGGTATTGCTATTGGTTTCTTGCTCCCGCCTGTCCTCGTGCCGAACGTGGAGGACATCAGTGAACTGGCTCAACACATCCGAGTCATGTTCTTCATCACAGCCGCTGTGGCCAGCCTCATCTTTCTGCTGGTTGTGTTCGGTGAGCACTTCTTCGTTCAGCAGTAAAGTGCAGCATAAATGAACATCTAACATGACTGATGCAGTAGTTTTATTATCCGTCAAATCAATGGATAAAATCTCCTCTGCTCTTTAACATAAACACATTGTCTTCAGCTTCTGTTTATGAAGGCTCAAACTTGCAGAAATCAAAAATACATGGGTAACGTCTCATATCTGGGTTTACAAAGTAATTTCTGTCTCTATTAATGGAGTGAATGACATGGTTTGGTTTTGGAAACACGAGCAGAACACATTTCCGTGCAAATCGTTCAATAAATCCATTCGAATGCAATTAACAGAAGTAGTGTTTACATGCAATTTACTTCTCATGTATAATGAATGATGCTCAATGTTTTTGCCATATCATTATATCAATGATTGTAATAATTTGTCAGTTTTGTCTAAAATGACACAGGGCCATGTTGATTGATTGATAATGTTCTGGTTTAATGAATTGCTTTTGTGGTGTTGGTGGTTTTGATGGTCTAATATGCTTCAGTGTTTCAGGATAAACCGGAAAAGCCTCCGTCTCCAGCTCAGGTAGCACTCAGAGAAATGCCCACGGGACAGAGTTCGTACATGGCTTCAATCGCAAGACTCTTCTGCAACAAGCCCTTCATCCTCCTCCTCATCAGTTACGGTACACACCGCTAATTCTTATTCGTATACTTAAAGCACATTGTACCTTTGCATATTTTGCTCAGTGTGTCTGAACTATTGTACTATTGTAATTAGGAGCATTATCTAATTATATTTTAAAGTCCCCGCCAGCCAACATGTGTGGGCCCCACATGGTTTATGCTTGGGGTATGTGGGTACCAAGTGGGTGTGGTCCCAAAATGGGCATCTTATCTGGGGCCCACTTGGGTCAGCTACGTAGGTCCCACATGGGCAAAAACAGGTGGGCTCCCTATGTGGGTCCTAGTTGGGTCACTAATGGGAAATGAGTGCATGGGCTCAAAATGGGCAACACAAATGGGGCCCATTTGGGTTTATCAAATGGGTTAGACATTGGCAAACACAACCAGTCCATAAAGGCTGCCTACATGAGCCCAAGGTAGTACCCACATAGGTAATCTCTATATGGGTTATGAATGGGAAAAATATATGGGGCCCACTTTGATAACCCATATGGGTCAGACATGGGCAAACACAATCAGTCCTATATAGGCTGCCTACATGAGCCCAAGGTGGCACCCACGTAGGTAATCTCTATATGGGTTTTGAATGGGGCAATACATATGGGACCGGCTTGGCCAAAATATATGGGTCAGACATGGGCAAACACAATCAGTCCCAAATAGGCTACCTACATAGGCCCAAGGTAGTGCCAACATAGGTAATCTCTATATGGGTTTTGAATGGGTAAATACATATGGGGCCCACTTGGCCAAAACATATGGGTAATACATGGGCAAACACAATCAGTCCCATATAGGCTGCCTACATGGGCCTAAGGTAGTTCCCACATAGGTAATCTCTATATGGGATATGAATGGGAAAAACATATGGGGCCCACTTTGATAAACCGTATGGGTCAGACATGGGCCAACACAATCAGTCCCATATAGGCTGCAGTAGTGGCAAATTCACAATCTTTGGTTCAGGTCTTCAAAGTCTGGTTCAGGTCTCAAAGAAATCTTTCAGAGTCGAAGTTTCAGGTCTCAGAAGAATTAACTTTATTGACAAGCAAAAAAGTGAGATGCCAGCTGGCCATCTGACTTGCAATGGTTTGCACTCAAATCTTATACCTTTTTCTTATCACTTTGTGTCCAATTAGTGTTTGTATTATTATCTTTTTACACAATGGGCATCTGTATTACTATCCTTTTACACAATGGGCATCTGTATTACTATCCTTTTACACAATGGGCATTTGTATTATTATCCTTTTCTTGGTGGCACATCGTTACATTGTATATAATATGTTTATCTTCCAGTGCTTCCTTTTCCACTCTCTTGTCCCTGTCCTCGTGTGCCCTATCCTCACATGCCCTGTGACCTAGTTTTCAGCATTCAGACTCATGTATAAGACAGATGAAATATGAAATTCTCCAACACCGCCTACATGAGCCCAAGGTAGTTCCCACATATGGAAATCTCTATATAAGTTATGAATGGGAAAAACATATGGGGCCCACTTTAATAAACCAAATGGGTCAGACAATGGCAAACACAATCAGTCCCATATAGGCTGCCTACATGGGCCTAAGGTAGTTCCCACATAGGTAATCTCTATATGGGTTCTGAATGGGTAAATACATATGGGACCCGCTTGGCCAAACCATATGGGTCATACATGGGCAAACACAATCAGTCCCATATAGGCTGCCTACATGGGCCTAAGGTAGTTCCCACATAGGTAATCTCTATATGGGATATGAATGGGAAAAAATATGGGGCCCACTTTGATAAAGCAAATGGGTCAGACATGGGCCAACACAATCAGTCCCATATAGGCTGCCTACATGAGCCCAAGGTAGTTCCCACATAAGTAATATCTATATGGATTCTGAATGCAGAAATATATACGAGTATAATTGTGAATATAATGAATTATGTAATAAATATAAATTGTGCATCTGTAAATTACTTCATAAACTATACACTTGTAAATAACATATCTGTGCAAACATTAAAACAATTATATACAGTATATTTATAATTTATAATCCTTGTTAAAATACCACTAACAGTCGACCATGGAATATTTAGTAGTGAGGAAATTTCACAAATGGACTTATTACACAGGTGGAAACCTATCACGGTACCACGCTTGAATTCACTGAGCTCCTGAAAGCGACCTATGTTTTCACACATGTTTGTAGAAGCAGTCTGGATGGTGCTTGATTTTATACAACTGTGGCCATGGAAGTGATTGAAACACCCACATTCAATGATTTGGAGGGGTGTCCCAATACTGTTGGCAATATAGTGTATGTGGGTACAGTATTGGCCATGGCTCTTCAAATCCAGTCCTGGAGTGTTGGTGTTCAGCAGACATTAGTTCTTCCAACCCTAACCATTGACATTAAATATTCAAAGTGTCAACTTTTAGTGGTCTGATTTTGTGAGTTACTGCAAAATGCTTCTCAATATAGTTATTTTAAAATGTATACAAATGGTTCAAAATATCCAGAAAATGGTCACTGTACAATATGAAGAACGGGTTACAGAAGCTAATTATCTATCAAAATAATGGAATTATAATGGCTTAGAGATGGGTAGAAGAAATCAACCCCCTAGCAACAGCCATATAAATACTCTGGCTTTCTGGTCAGTCGGTTAGTGACAATGTAATTCTAGAGATTTTAAATACTGGGGTTAGGGTTTTGATTATTGAAAGGGGCACATCAGTCCAGATGATGAAATAGCCCAAGTAAAGAAAGTTAGAATGTAAAATCAGGGTTTGAAGGGAAAATTCAATGTAAATTCAGATATCATATTTGCAGCATATACAGGAGTACAGAATGTACACAATGTAACGTTTAATATAACGTTTAATGCTAAACAGTTGAAAAGTGATTTTTTTTTTTTTTTTTACAAAATCTGTATGTTGAATCAATGTCATGTCTTCAAGAAATACATAACCTTTGAATTATTATTATTTTAGCATTGTATGATATTTTGATCAAAACACCACTTCAAAAATCTAAATTTGTGTTAAAATAGAATTCATTATATTATTAACAATAATAATAATAATGGATATAATTTCAATCTCAACAGAGAAGTGCAGAAGAAACTTTTTTGCTTTGTGTGATTTTGTTCGGGTTTACAATTTTGTGTGTGTGCCTAAAGTTTACCTAGCAGGATTGCATTTTTATTCACACACTTTTTATAAAAACACTAATCAAATAATATAGCCACCAGTATTCAATAATTGTATCCCTTAAATCTCATCTTTGATCACCAAAATTACATATTTAAACGTTTTTCCTTATGTCATACCTTAAAATATCATGAAAGTAACTCGACACCCGTGCCTCATTTAGTATACGCGGCTCTATGAATATGATGATGATGATGATTTATTTGTCCTCGAGAGGAAATTTGTTTCCACCATAGATGCGTACATAATACAAACACACATGTATAACATATTAAGAACATGAACATATAAACATCTACAAAAAACAACGCAGAAAAATCAACAAAAAAACAACAACAAGAGAGCATACCTGACGTATGCAAATGAGCCCCGCCTCCACTCACTCACTCAGCTCAGAGATCCACTGGTTGACGATCACACGTTGATCTGATTGGTTACAAGGTCGTTTGTGACGTCAGAAACACCAGCGATTTCACACCGTGTTTTTGAGACTGTCTTTGGTTCACTGCAGTTTTAAGCAGAAAATACTCAGCAATGCTGTCGACTTATGAACTTACACATGGTTTGTCTTAAAGCATATTAAAAACACCACATACACACATAAACAACATTAAAAGCTGGATTTACACCACAGGGGGACTTTAAACAATGATTCAGATATAATTTTTAGATGGCCGTGGCTCTTAACATTTTTGACACAAATGCCCCCCATATACAGTAGGCCAAAACATTTTCACAGCATTTAAAACCTTTATCAGCGCAGTCTGAAATCTTGATATATTTTTGCACAAGTCAAGCTCTTGCAAAGCTTTACATTTCATGATTTTTGATTTTTCAGTTTATCTATTTTGTATGTGTATATTTTATCTGTTATATACTGTATATATATATATAAAATGTGTCATATAAAAAGTAAATTATGCATAATTGACAGGTAACACTTTACTTGAAGGGGTGTGCATAAGAGTAACATGACACCTTCATAATCATGATATGACACATGTTATGAATATGAAGGAAGTTGTATGCATGTTTATGACAACTGTCATTAAGTGTCATTCGCTCAATTATGACATTTTTTATGCAAATATGACATTGTTTGAGATGTCTTTGTTATGACACCTTGACATAAACTAATACATCATAACCTGTCAGTGTCTTTGTCATAACAACTTGACATTACTAAGACAACACAACATGTCATAAACATGACATAGCAGATTAATTATCAAACTTAAGAAACCACTTAGCTTTATTGGTTAACATTACATTAAACTGTCATATGGTTGGTTTTGACATTGGCTGTCATGAAGCCATTATAACTGTTTAATGACAAATTTAATTTGTACCACTGTAGTTGAGGTCACGAAAAATATTCATGACACAGTTATAATGGCCTTATGACAGCCAATGTCAAAACCAACCACATGACAGTTTAACTTAATTTAATGTCAAGTTGTCATGACAAAGACACTGACCGGTTATGATGTTATGGTTTATGTCAAGGTGTCATAACAAAGACATCTTAAACAATGTCATATTTGCATTCAAAATGTCATTGAGCGAAAGACACTTAATGACAGTTGTCATAAACATGCATGAAACCTCCTTCATATTCATGACCTGTGTCCTCTCATGATTATGAAGGTGTCATGTCAGTCTTATGTACACCCCTTCAAGTAAAGTGTTACCACTTATTTGCTTAATTGACAATGTCATCTAAAAATACAGTGACCAAAAAATATAAATAGTCAAATATAAAAATTAATAAATAATCATGACCCAAACAAACAGCAGTGGAGTCAATGTCATTATATCTGGCCCAGTTTTGCTGCTCAAATGAACAGATTGCAGTTGTTTTCAATTACACACCTTCACATTTAACCATCAAATTGTTATAATTCCACCCAGTTTTAATCCTGTGATTCATGTTTATTTGAAAGCATGTTTGTCCCTGTCTTTGTGTTTCCCAGGACTGAACGTTGGATGTTTCTACGCCGTTTCCACGCTGTTGAACAGGATGATAATCGAGCATTACCCGGTGAGTCCATGCCGTCCTGATCATCCGGTTCCACATACAGACAGCTCTACTTCTAAATGATGCATACAAAAAGTATTATTTTATTTTTTGGAGATTGTAATAGCGTGGTATTTTCTTTAAATACACTGGACTACATATCATGGTATATGATTATGGCAGTTACAAAGCTTCACAAATGTTATTTTAACTCTTCCAGTTAATTTTTGCACTGCTAACATCAATAACAGCTTTAACTTGCGGGATAATCCAGGGATAGCTTTGCATTTCACGATTATAATGTGTCATTTCTTTGCCTTCACGTCGCGCATTAAAATTGTGTAATGCACACCTAGCTGTGGATTATCCCTTGCATAAACCATATTGTATGTATGGTAAGTATTGTGGTTTTGTCATCTGACGCCAACACTGCACCATGGTACTTTTTACTTTTGTATATTTGGAGAAAACATATAATTTATACACTGTTAAGGGGCTTTTCAGTTTCTTCGTCATTAATATTCTTAGCAAATCCTCCATTAAAGTCTGACAGTACTTTATTTTTCTCCAAGTGATCAGACTCAGTGTATTGTGTTACCTAAACACATGGCTACCTTGGATTTAAGTGCATGAAAACATGGTTTTAAGGGTTGATGTATTGAAGATATCTCAGATATCATTACTGTCTGAAGCACAGGGTGAAGAGGTGAATGCTGGGAGAATTGGTTTGACTCTTGTCATTGCTGGCGTGGTTGGCTCTCTGATCTGTGGAATCTGGCTAGACAAGACCAAGACTTATAAGTAAGTGATGCATTCTCTACTATTACATTTTCCCCCTGAGATCCACATATCATGATAGCAAAGTTTTTTAATAAAGCTCAAAAACAGTGATATTTTTGATGCAGCTGCTTGAGTTTGTGTTCTGATACATGTTTTGAGTGGTATTGCATGTGCATTTGTGTTCCTTTAGTAATTAACATAAAATATCCAGACATTTAAGATCCACAGATGATTTTAATTTTTCTAGTATACACTGTAAAAATTATTTTTCGAATTTGTAAATGAATTGTGCAGGTGCAGGTTGACGAAGGAGAAGCTTAGAGACACGGATCTATGTGACTATCATTTTTAATAAAATAAACCAGATAATACAAATGCTACAGGCAAACACTAATGTAACTTAGAAAATAACCCAAAAACTAACTGAGGAAACTGAGGAGTATAAATACACAGGGCAACGATAAACTAAACAAGACACAGGTGAAGTCAATCAACTTTATTTCTATAGCACTTTATACAATACAGATTGTTTCAAAGCAGCTTTACAGTGATAACCGGAAAAATGATTTCAGATGTTGTTCAGCTGAAGTGTTGATTCAGTTCTGTTGTAAAGATCATCAATATTTAAATTAGTTAATTTAATCTATAAAGCAGTTTTGCGAACAAAATGTCATCGTCCAGCTCAGTTCGGTTCTCATACAACAGCGTCAGTACAGTCAGATCAATAATATTGTTTAATATTAAGTTGACAAATGAGAACATACTTAGTAAACAAGGAAACGAGACGCTGCGTCGTGGTGTTGACTCACATGAGCCGCTGTCTACACACACCAATCTGGCTGGCCAAACGTATGGGCGTTGTAACGTAGCGTAGCGTAGCGTAGCGCGTCACCGAGGGTGGCACAGCATCTCGTTCCCTTCTCATGGAACCGGGTTACATAAATTGTACGTAACCAAACTTCGACGCTGTTTCATACCGTTGAAACTATGGGAACTTCAATACTAATGTTGCCACTCCCAGGGTAACAGCTTGCCCCCAGTTCCCCCGCCTCATAGGAGAGGGTGACAGCATCTGTAATCCAATGCGAGATATACGTTGCTTAGTGTTCGCATTACCTCTATTGCGACCACCAAAGCCTACCGGAAGCTGGGAGGATCTACGCAACTGGCCTGAGCGGTGGACATATTCTCAAAGCACGGACCGGACATAACAGGCGGAGGCTTTCTTGCTCCAGCGGCTCATGAGGTGCAGGAAAGAAAAATACAAAATGACCGGTTGACCAGTCGCAGAAGGAAAATAATCTGGTCTGGGGTGCAATATAACCCTTTCCTCACCTGGGGCCTAGGGGCCTAAACTGTGCGTAGGATCCTTACTAAAAGTGTACGTGCGCCCGAAAGTCAAAAATGGCGTAAATTTTCCCGTCAAGTTTGTTTTTTATATCACAACTTATGCGTCGGAAGTGGCGTACGCCTCTTTCATGGCCTGTTTTGTGCGTACGCAACGGTTATGAAAGAGGCCCCTGGCACAGTCTAAGTCTAAGCAGGAGGAGGTTACTGACCGGGCCTGGAGGTCTCCTACTCTCTTGAGTGATGTTAAGGCTAATAATAAAGCTACTCTGAGAGTCAGCATCTTGTCTGAGACCGACTCCAAGGTCAATGTTTGGTCCCAGGGAGGAACTTGCAACCGTCCGGCACCACATACGAACCGAGACACCAAAGTGTGTTCTTATTTATTCTTTTTTTGCTTGATTTGAGTGCAGATTTTGACACCATTTCACATAATATTCTCTTGAATCGTTTATCCACATGGTATTACTGGTATTGCTTTCACCTGGTTCACTTCATACCTTTCTAACCACGCACAGTTTGTACAACTAAAAAAATGTTAAATCGCATTCTTCTTCTGTTAGCTGTGGTGTCCCCCAAGGTTCGGTCCTAGGCCCCCTACTGTTCCTAATTTACCTTGGTAATATCTTCTCTAAATGTGGTATTAAATTCCACTGTTACGCTTACGATACACAGGCTCCAGGTTAGGAAGTTGTTGGTCATCTTCGACAGCACTCTTTCAATTTGAAGCTCACGTCAATAGCATAACCAGGTCTTGTTATTTTCATCTTCGAAATATTGATTGCCTCCATCCATTTCTCACTCCGCTGTTCTGCTATTTATGTTAATTCGCTTCTCACCTCTTGCATTGACTACTGTAATTCTCTTTGTATCTGGTTTACCACACAAATCTCTTCATAAACTCCAGCCGATTCAGAATTCTGCTGCTCGTATCATAACCCGGACTATACAACATATTACCCCATCACTTCAACAGCTTCATTGGCTTCCTATAGACCTTATGCGCCAGAGAAACGAGGACGGCGCCATCTTTAGAATATTGTCTTTGAACTTCCGTTTTTGCGGTCGGTCTGTATATCTCTATGGCATTGCTGTCCAGGAGTAACTAGCCTTTAAAAAAGATTTACTTAATGTAAAGTTAACGAAAGTTATCATGAGGATTGTAATGTTTAATGTAGATGTCTTAACAAATGTCAGTAGACCGGGAAGATTTTAAAACGAGCCGTTCATTCATAAATACGGAAGATCGCTGTGAAAATGCAGACCGGAAGTCAAAAGACAATGAGCGCAGCGCTGAAAAGGGGCGGGGCTACGTAAGGGCTATTAAATTCCACATTAAATTAAAAATTCTCCTCCTCGTTTACAAATCTTTCAGATCTTTTACAGCTCTACACCCCTTCTCGACCTCTCCGCTCCTCTTCATTGGGTTTTCTCCATACACCCTCTGCTCATCTAACCACATCGGGCCCTTTCGAATTCTCTCCCAGTTAAAATACGTAATTCAGACTCATCATTTCAATTAAAGTCAATTGATGGGAGTCGTCCACCATTATAAAGCGGGGGCATGGCATCACTCATTTTCTGTATCTCAGTCCTGCCATTCATACAACTTCGAAAATAATTTGTACTGTTTAAATCTTTGACTGACTTTTTCCCTAGACTTTTTCCTACATTGTTAAAACTCTTAACTTTGACTCATGTCGAGCAGCTGAATGCCTGTAATGCGCTTTTCTCTATAATAGACCCTCTGTTTCTCCTAATCACATTATGAGTTAGAGGATTTACCAGGACAGATCAGCGGTTACAGGGTTTATTACTCATGCTGACCTTGATTCAAAAATGTGCTTGTGGGTTTATAACTCTCTCTGGTCTTTACATTCGGTGACTCTACAATTAAAACATTACCCTCAATCCTAAATATGCGCTAACAACCTTGCAGGGTATATAGTTATTAATTGTTAACACATTTTCAACCTCGTCACAGTAAGCTTGGACTTAATTTACTTGTAATTTCAGTAGATAGCTGAATGAATTTTGGTTGTGTCTGTGTGCCTTGTGTGTAAATCACACTGTAATTATTATTATTTGTTTGACAATGTTTATTGCCAACCTGCTACATTTAAAATGTTGGTAAAAGTGTTTTGATGTCATAACAAAGTGTTGTGCAAAGAATGGCACGAATGTGTCTTTATTAATCAATAATATGCCCTTATAATCATAACTTGTGTGAAAAGGAATGAAAGTAGTTGCTGTTTTATTGCCACTAATGTTCATTTCAGCTAGAAACTGCAATACATTTTATGTACATGTACATTTTTGAAGTTTTGCAAGACACATTTTTCCAGTTTTGAAAAATAGAAAAAGTAATGGAATTCATTTGAACTTTAAACAAATTTGAAGTGTTTTAAGTAAAAAATAGCATTGACATATTTCTATTGATTTTTGATTAATAGCTATTTATGTAAAGTCTACTCAAGTCAGAATTATTAAATGCATGAATGCCTGGTTTCATAGCCAAGGCTTAAGTCTAATCCCAGACTAAAATGCATGTTTGAGCTGTTTTAACTGAAAGCATATCTTAAAATATGTCAGTGCCATTGTTTTGTCTCAAGATGCACACCAGTAATGTTTTTAAGGCACATTTATAAATGCTACTTGAATGTCCTAGGCCTAGTCCTGGCTTAGTCTAAGCCCCGTCTGTGAAGTCTTAATAAATGCCAACAATAAACTGTAAATCCCAACATCTTCAGTCTAGAGCAAAAACAAAGGTAATAATGGCACAATGTTCCTCAAAACTCACATGTGTCCCTTACAATGAGTAAAGTTAACTGGTTACATGTTCCTTCCACATTATATAACAGGCCAGTCTTTGAGTCAATCATTGTGTGAACTATGTTTTCCCCAATGGTCCTTTAAACATAAAGAACTGCAAAATACATTGGCACTTGGGAGGAGAATGTACCTTGAAATTAAAAAAAGCCCAAGACTACTAATCACCCTCACCATGACACGAACAAAACACAACTAACTAAACAACATTAACAAGATTAAATAGAGCTAAAACCTCTATTAATTCTAAATGACAGCTATTTACACACACCCATACATATTTAATTTATTCAAGAGCAATTTATTCAAACATTTCCCCCAGCCACAATGCTCAGTAGAAGATTTATGAAGTAATTGTTTGTTCTCTCTCAACGCAACAGTACATTACACCAGTCAGTGCACTATAGAAGCGCAGGGTTCCTCTTGTTGACTGCCAAATTGGATCGAAGAAAGACGAGAATTGTTTTTTTGCTGTTAAACTGCTGATTTAGAGAACATGCATCAAAACCCATGTAAATAATAAGAGTTTTAAACAGACAGATTATACAGCACTAAAACTGAACAAGTGAGAGTCATTTAAAAACCTTTGTTTTGAATGTTCAGAGGACAATTAAGGTAACAATTTCAGGTTACCACTTTTTACAGTGTTGATTAGTTGATTAGCGTCTGTGTTCTGCTCTCTGTTTTCAGAGTTGCATCCACCTCTTGATATTAGTAGTTGGTGTTTGCTATAAAACAGGATGTTACTCGTATATTTGCCTGTGAATGCATTCTTTCTGTGTCCATTATTCTTCAATATAGTTATCTCTCTTATCTCTTGTGAAGCGCTGGTTTGAAAACTGCCC